GCCGTTTTCTCTCCGTTGTGTGTGTGTGTCTTTGCCTGGCCCTTGGACAGGCAGCGGCAGCCACACCCTGCGACCATCTTCGCAGAAGAAAAGGCTTAAAGTTCACTAATGTGCTGTTATGCTTTAGGTCTAGATGTCCTGCTTTTGATGACAATTATGAACTACGTTTCTATCTTGCTTTTCAAGATTTTGCCACGTGTCTTCTTCAGTTGATCATTGTGTGTGTGTAGCATATCTACATAGAAGTCAGACATAACATTGTGCAGTGATGACATGGCTGAGTTATGGCGAATGAAAGGTTCATAAGACCTTGGGAATCTTGGGATGCTTTGCATTTCTTCCTGAAGTGACTTATTTTCTGAGGGCTATTTTCGAAGTCCCATCTTCTTTGAACACTTGCCTCAAACACCCACACTTTCTGACTTTCTCAGTTCAGGCCCATTGCACCATTGCTATATGGGAAAAGAGCATTTTTACAAGAATGCGCAGCTCACGCGAGTGGCTTTTAACCCCAACTTCCTCTCTCCCTTCCCTTCTGCATCTTGCCCAAGTCAAACCTTCCCCGTGAGTGCGAAGGATTTACACATAATGAAATCCATCCTCGCTCACGTCACTAGCCGTCACTTATGACACTGAGGTAGGATAGAAGAAATAAAGATAGAAAGGAGACAAGGAAAATTACAATATTAACACTGTACTTTTAAAGAAAATCTGCAACTTCAGGAAACAAACGCTATTCAAGCTTTTTTCCCCTTTCCAGAGAAAATCCCTAAGGATCTCAAAGACAGTGCGCCTGTAAGCTGGGCACTTGGGCTGTGCCCTTCACCTATCAGTTGCCTTCTCTGCTGCCAACCGCCACCCTCAGAAAGCACACTGTCTAGGGGGTGGTGGATCTCAGTGTCACACACATGCAAATGGGCAAAACACACCTCAGATAACCCATCTCGGGGAGACCCCCTGAGTTCCACAAGTACACCCACTGGAGGCTGCTCTCCCTCCGGAGTTCCGCACGCTGCTTCATCACTCCTGTACTTTCACAGTTCTACCTCATCAATCTCTTTTTGCCTCCTACTCACCTGTCCTGAAAATTCTTTTCCTGTGGTGGAGTCAACCAATCTCCTTTGTGAGTGGAGTGCCTCAAGTTCCCCAACGCCACTTTCGGGGCCTCCTTAGACCCTGTCCAGTGAGAACATAAACTCATTTGAAATAACACGAACAATCATGCAGTCCAAATTCAGGAAACTGAAACCAAATTATCCTACAATCATTTCCTCTTTGTAGTACATCTGTAGAGAAGGCACACACAGAACTGGTGGGGAGGAGGCTCACTTTTCACTAAATATAATTGTGAACCTTTTGAATTTTATGCCATAGAGTCTGAACTCAAAAAGAACCAAAAATAATAATTTGCACTTGAAAGTATAGAACTAGTACTTAATAATCAATGTTATAAGCAGAAGTTACCTTTTGATATGACAAAATGGAGTTTTAAAAGTTTAAGGAGCCGAGGGTGGTGGCACACACCTGTAATCCCAGTACTTGGGAGGCTGAGGCAGGAGGATTGCCATGAGTTCAAGGGAAGCCTGGGCTACATAATGAGGCCCAGTCTCAGAAATAAAAAAAAAAGTTTAAGGATAAATTGAACAATTTGTATTTGATATAGGACTTATCACTGAGCTAAATTTGGTGCATGTTTTTACTTTTTTGTTTACCTTCTGGTGGACAAAGATATTCTTTGTCCTCACATCAAATACAGTCATGAACGCTTCTGCTCGCAAACAATTCAGTTCAGAAACAGAAGCATTTAGGAGAATTTTGCTTCTGTTAGCAAAATCCACATCAGAGGATGAACACGGCCACAATCATCTTCCCCAGAATCATGTGACGTATTAATTTCATCAACCACCCAATTTCAACCAAAGCAGGCCCTTTGCTTGTGTGGGGTGGGAGTTTGTGGAAAGGAATGATTTACTGATGGATCTGTTTCGTCATCTGAGTACTTCTGTCTACCAAGCACTGCACTGGGTGCCAGGGACAAAGGTATTCACGGAACCAGCTCTCTCCCGCTGGACCCTTGTCCTGAGGGCAGCAGAAGAAGGAGGACAGCAGTGGGGAGAACTGAGTATGGTTTATTACAAACAAGGAGGGTCTGAAGGTAGAACACCACTGAAGCATTTAAATCTAGACGCTGCTGTCTTTGGTGTCCAGGGACGTGTGGGGAGGCAGGGCTGCCGTTGCTGCTGAGGCTGTTGCAGGCTCCTAATGTCTGGAAAGAGGATTTTCTTATTTCTTTGTCCTTTGCATTCCCGTTTCTTGAGATGTAATCCTGGTTTATCCAGGGCCATGCCCTGTACGCTTCGGGCTTCAATTTCCCAAGGCTCACTTTCAACCTTCAGTTTACTCAGTTTATTGAGTTTATACTCAGGTTCTCGCCCTAATCTACCTATCACCCCGCTATCTCCTGGTTTCAGGAAGACCTAGAGCCTGTCCTGGAAAGACACATGGGCCTTGGAAAAGCCAAGGTAATGCTTTGTCATCTCAGAGTTGGGATTAGAAAAAGAGGCAAACTTAATCTGCGCACCTAGAGAGGACTCAAGAACTGAAAGTCAACATGGAGCATAGACGGGACTTCAAAGACCCTGAGTGTGAACGCAAGGGGGCCTGAGGGTGGAGAGGAGGCAAAGCAGGGGGTGAGAGCCAGTGCCCACCCCAAAGGGGAGAACTGAGACCTGAATTTATTTCCCAGATGCTTGCTCCTAAATGATTGCTTTCTCGACAGTGGAAAAACAATCACCCTGGGCTAAGTAATTCTAAGAGGAGGTCTTGGGCTGAGCGTGCAGCTCAGTAATAGAGTACTTTTGCAGCATGTCTGAGGGTGTGTGTTTATTCCTCAGCAGAGAAAGACAGAGAGAGGTCTAAATTCATTTAAGAACTTGCCAAGCCTGCTTTTCTCATGTGGGTTTTTTGTTTGGTTTTTATTTTATTTTATTTTATTTTATTTTATTTTCAGACAGAATCTTGCTATGTGGCCCAGGCTGGCCTCAAAGTCATGCAATCTTCCTGCCTCAGCCTCCTTAGTGCTGGGATTATAGGCATGCACCACCATATTGGCTGTTTTTTCTCATTTGTAAATCAAGAATAGCTGTACTTATCATATGAAGTGATGTGAGGACTTGGCAAAGTGTAAAATTGCTTGCATAGTGTGACAAGCATAATAGTTGCTCAACAGACAGTACTTACTACTGTTGCTATAACCTGTAAGTAAAATGAAAATAGCAATGGAGGGCCCATGGGTTGGCTCATTCAGTTCTCATTTCATTCCCCTTCGGGGATAATTTCCTGTACTGCACTGAAAGTACAGCACATTTCCCAGACTCCCTTGCTCTTAGCTTGCCACTTAGGTTCCCCCAGTTAAAGATGTAGAGGCCATCTTCTTGCAGTTCCCTCTGGAAGGCAAAGTCACAGAGACATGATGGTCCACTGGCAGCAGGAATGTGGACAGGCACTGTGCGATCTGCAGACCACAGCCCTGGTTTGCCCTTGATATTAATCAGTGGGGTAGCCCTGATTTCTGCTCCTCCAGCCCTTCCAGACACTTGGTGTGTTGGTTTCAGGAATATTTTGCAAGGGGAACAATCTAATACAGGACACACATTTTATAAGATTATTTATGATAGTCACCTAAAGAATGATATACAAGAGAGTACAGAAGATCTGTCCACACACTAAGACCAAGAAATCTAGCTGAAGGCCTGGATCCCATGGAAATGTCCTACATGAGTCCAGCTAAAGACCTAGAGCTCATAATGTCTCCCACAAATCCAACTGGAGGCCCAGCGCCCATAACAATATTTCATGCAGGCCTGTTTCACAAATCTGCTGCAAAGGCCCAAAAGTCAGTGGTGGAAGCTAGGAAGTCTGTGCCAGTGGGATAAGGATCTCTGCTAGCAGGCTGAGGGATCTGCACTGGAGTCAGGAAGCAATGCCCAAAGTAAGAACCAGAGCTCCCTTGAAAGCCATCCTCAGCAACAGTGAGGTCCCAAACTCCTCCAGTGGTGAAAACAGCTGAGTTCCCATCAGGGAAGCCAATGCGTCAAGTTTCTTCAGGAGACTGAGCTGTGTACCTTCTTCCCCTCCAGAGCCAGGAAGCGATGCTCAAAATGAGGACCAGAGCTCCCCTGAAGTGAACCGAAGCCATTTTCAGTACCAACAAGGTCCTGAGCTCCTTGGAGGATGAAAACAGCCAAGTTCATCAGGAAAGCCAGCATGACGAGCTCCTCCAACAGAACCAACAGCTCTTTAAGCTTCCACCAGCTCCCAACAGCCCTTCTCTGCTGCCAACAGTCTCTCTTCTTCTCCAGTTTTGCCTCTTATGCTGCTGGTAATAATCCCCATGTGGGCCTCCCACACCCAACACCACACTTACTCAGTTCAGCTGGGGGTTATAAGTTGACCACCAGTTGTCAATCCACTACACTTGGTAAGCATCCAATGCCGGTATTAAGTCCTTTCTGCGTAAAATACCTAGAGTGATGGTTCCCACTTCTAGCAAATCCTGGGTGATTCCAAAATGGGTGTTTCATCAAAAGAAATATACACGCACATGTCTGTAAAAAATTTATTTCACACTGCTGCCTCAAATTTAAATTATTTTAAGATTTAAATTATGAGTTAATTCCCATGTTTGAATCAACCAGATAATCTCTCACTGATGCCACTGTCTTTGGAAGCTGTTAGCATAACATAAGCCTTCTGGGATCCTGAACTATGAACTCGGATTGTACTCTAGGAGCATTTGCTTGTAGTGATCATAAACTATTTTTACTTTATACTTTTTTAGGTTGGGAGGAAAATAGTCCTTAAAATAATTTTGCCTTCCAATATCCATTCTTTCTTCCTTTCTTAGTAATTTTTGTTGTTGTTTTATTTTTTGAGACAAGGTCTTGCTAGGTAGTTTGAGCCAGTCTTGAACTCATGATGTAGCCCAGGCTTGCCTCAAACTCATGGCAATCTTCCTGGCTCAGCCTCCCTAGTGCTGGGATTATAGGCATGTTCCACCACACTTGTACCTTTCTTAGTATTAAGAACTCCAATTTTTAGCTGAGAACAGTGCTACCCAACATATTCCACTCTTTCTTAAAGCTAAACTTAGTTGTGTGTCTACATTCTAGCCAGTTAGATGTACAAAATGAAAATATGTAACTCCTATAAAGTGTCTTTCAAAGATGGGTGCAGACCCTTTGCCCGTTCTTCCTTTCTATGGGCTAAAGTACAAATGTGATGATAGGAGCACTATCAGCTATTTTGTGCCATGAGGTAGAACACAACTCATGGCAGGATAGAGAGAAGGAGCCTGCTGACTGCAGAGCTGCCTAGACCTGGGTTATTTAGGCTTCTTTCATACTAGAAAAAAAAAAAAAACCTCCGACTTTTTGAAGTTACTGATGTTTTGGCTGATGTTTCTATTCCTATCTGCAGCCCAACCTACCCTTAATTAGTATAAAGGGGAGAGCCAGACTTTGTCTCACATTAACCTGGGCATTCCTCAGTTTTGAACAACAAGTGCATTCTCAATATGCAGTTTGGGCAGGCTGACAAAATGCAGCAGGGCAGGCTGTCAAAAGCGCTCTCTGGGTTGGGAATTCAACACACCTAAATAATGTCAATGAAGCCAAGTCACTGTGCATAGCAAACAATAAAACTGTAGACCAACCAAGTAACTCTGATCTACTCATGTACTCTCAGAGTCAAATGAAGGTCCCTGTTTGGGGTTGAATGGAAGGCGGGTCCTCGACCTTAGGTGATGGTCCATTAGGACTGCAGCTGCTCATTCACGCGGCTGAGCTTTTGCCCAAGGTGACCCCCTTCCAGTCATCAAGTGACCACAGCTCCCCCGACAGCCCAGCCAATGGTACAGTCTGCCTTGTAGCTCTCTGTTCCAGAGCCCATAGACCAGCGGGTTAAAACACTGGGCAAATGCAAAGACACCGAAAAGGACCAGGTTTAGAGCAGAGAAAAATACCCCACACTTCTTTCCCAAACCCACGACCACCAGGGTGGGCACTACATGCAGACTTATCTGCAGAAGATGAGTAAGGACTGTTTGCTTTGCTTTGGAGTTTGACTTAGTGAAATGGCCAGCCCACTTCCCTTCCTGATATATCAGAAAGTAACTTGCAAGGATGACAGACAGAGGAAGGAAAAGGAAAAGCATGCCAGTGGCCCTGGCAGGTATGCCATTCAAGGTCACAGGGCAAAGGGGTACAGATGTTAAAATAGCAACCGGGGTGGGGCTAATGCCCTCTATGAGGAACAAGCAAACGTTCTTAAACACAATGACTGCCCAAACCCCAGCCAGAATCCTGTATTTCACTGAATCTACTAAGGACAGAGATTTCAGGGGCCAGCAAATCATCAGGTAGGTGTGGAGAGCCATCAAGGCCAAAATGAAGAGAATCCCTTCGCCAACGCTGAGCTCTGCCCCAAACACCACCCAGCAAATCAGCAGGGGGCTGTTGGCCAGCAGGGCCCGCATTCCTTGGAAAACAACCCCAGTGCACAGTAGGAGGAGATGCACAGCAGGTGATGGCAAAGGAGGATGTATCGGATCTTTCTCCGCAGCCTCAAATTCTGTGACACTGTGGTAATAACGATGACAGTGATGAGCACGGCAAAGGAGGAAGTGACCACATACACAGAGGTCTTCACTGTTGCTTCCAGCCTCAACCAGTCTGAGATGTTACAGAGCTCAGAAGAGAGGTTCATGGTCTTCAGGGGTGGCTCAGCTCCTGCAGGAGAAAAGAACCAGAATGAGGTAGATGAAGCCTCTTGTGTAGTTTTCCAGCTCTCTGATCTGTGTGTAGTCTCCAGAAATAGAAGGCATGTTCTTTGGGATAGAAGATGACAATTTTTTTTGGAGAGAGAGTCTCACTCTGCAGTTCAGGCTGTCATTGAACTCACTTTGTAGCCCAAGCTGGCCTTGAACATGCAGCAATCCTGCCTCAGCCTCCTGAGCGCTGGGATTACAGCCATGCATCACCATGCTTGGCTGATAATTTTAGATAATATTGGCGGGGATCAAAGAAACTAGAGGTATCTATTGTTTCCTTACTCAGAGAAGGAAAGCAGAAGCAAATCACACACAGGATGATGTGAAAGGTGAGTTCTCAATATACCACAAATTGCCCAAATACAGGTCAAGGTTTTAGCGCTTATGCACTTTTTTCTGTCTTTGACTGTGAGAACTTCTTCAATTAGAAGCATAAAGCACAACATTATAAGTCAGGTGAATAATACTAGCACTTGTTAACCATACAGGGGGAAAACCTTCGGGTAAGAACTGTAAGGGAAGTGGGAAAATCATAGCTCAGAGCCTTGAATTCATTTAGGTCTATAAGGCATGAAATGGAAATTAATGGTAATGACAGCAATCGTGAGTGACATTTCCCGTGTACTTTCTAAGGATCAAAATCGGCTCTCAGAGCATATTCCTCCCTACTCCAGGCATGTCTTATTTCTCACCAAATAGTTTTATTTTGCACCTTTCACAAATGAGAAAACTAGGACTTAGAAAGTCTAAGTGCTGTAATTTGGACCTTGAATGTCCCCCAAAGCCCTAGGTGTTAAAACTTGGTCCCAAGGGTGGTGCTATGGGGAAATGACAGAGCCTTTTAAGAGGTGAGGCCTGGCAGGAGGTCTTTAGGTCATTGGGGGGTGTGGCACAATCCCTTGAAGGGGACTGTGGAAACTTCACCTCTTCCTCACTCTCTTTTCTCCCTAACCGTGAGGTATTTTGCTTTACCATGCACTCGATCCATGATGTGCTCCCTCACCACAGGCCCAAAAGCAATGGGATTGACCCTCTAAAACTACAGACCAAAATAAACCTTGTCTGAGTTGATTACCTCAGGTATGTGCTGTCCTGGTAGAAAGCTGATGTAGTTACTGGGCTGCTTGCTTAAGGCCATATGGTTACTGCATAGTGAAGCCATAATTGGAATGCTGGAGCCCCACTTCAGAGCCTAACCCCTCAACCACTACAAGAAAGCTTATGTCATATGCCAGGCTAAATGAATGCATTCTCTAGATCTCCTTTACCAGTGTCATCTGGCCAGCCAACTGGGCTGCACTGGCAAAATATTGGCCCTGTTGTTAGAAGCCAGTAGACCACACACCCAGGAAAGTGCTGGGATCTCAGGACTGCTGAGCTAATGTGGGTACCACAATGCCAAGGCACATACAGCAGTCTTATGTGTGCACAGCAATGAGTGGATCACTGGGACAGCCTGGAGAACCCCCAAATCACAGTGTCACTATGGTTGCCATGAAGCCTACAGTGGAGATATCAGCTGTTGCCTGCCCAACTCTGCTCCTTCCAAGGCCCTTGATATCTCACTCTTTCTCTTGACTCTGCCTCATCAAAGGTGGCTGACACCTTGTTATGGTTTGTCTGTGTGTCCCCCCAAAGCCTCATGTGGCCATGGGGCAGGCTTTTAGAGTTGATTGATTGTGGGTGTGAGAGCTACACCTGCCCTGGGGTGGATAGTTTGCATATGTAAGGGAGGGGAAAAGAGTGCTTGAGGCCATTCCTCCCCCATTCCTCATTGGTGTGTGTTTGTTGCTTTGCTGTGTTCTGCTTCCATGAGCTGTTGCCCTCTGCCATGTGCCACTCTGCCTTGTAATCTGCCAAGTATGGACTGAAACCTCCACAAACTGTAAGCGGAAATAAACCTTTCCTTCCTTAATTTTGGGCGTCAGGTATTTTGTCCCAGCAATGAGAGAAAAGTAACCAAGACACACCTACTTCATGGAAGATCATTCTGTAGACCACACTGAGTCAACCAAGTCTGTCTCTTGAAAATCTGACCTGAAGCACACAAAGAATGGGGTCCAAGAGCACTGCCAAGTCATTGGCCTGTCCGACAGCTTGTAGCGCAGGCAAGTAGGAGACAGAGGGAGGTAGGAGGGAAGTGGAGAGAAGGGAGGGCATGACGAAGCCCCAAGTCACAAAAGCTCTTGCAAGACAAAGAGAACAGATGCCTTTTTGCTCCTGAATTTCTGACTGTACCAAGGAGCCCTGAATTTTCTGTCCTCGGATTCTAAAAATGTAACACACCCTATTATCTGAGCTAACTTAAATGGGGTTCTACTTCTTTCCTTTGTCCTCCAGACTTCAGAGGCCATGAAATGGGCCTTGAAGAGGCACAGTACATGATATCAGCTTTCTAAAGGGGCACATCACAAAGAGGTGCTGCTATTCCGACTTCCTGAGTATCTAAATACCAGAGCTCTTTATGAAGTCCCTCACTGAAGACACATTTCTTACTTCTTGTATTGCCATCCTTTGTGGAAAATTTACCCTGTGGCTTTTTGGTGCCATTGTCATGCCTTTGAACTCCAAGCATTTATTTTCTCTGCTCCTGGGTTCTACAGAGAGGACCAGAAATTGGAATGATCATTGTCAAAGTTATTGATCATCAATCTTTCTTTGAGTGGTAGGTTTTTCAATCAAAGGCTTATAGAAGAACTCCTCAAGATTAAAAAGAAAGATGTTGTTAATGGGGTTTATCTAAAAAAGTGCCCCCAAAGTCTCCTGCGCTCAAAGGTGGGCTTCTGTGATGGATGGTTGTGTCAGTCTGAGTAAAAAACACTACACTGAATTAGCACAGCACAGTTCTGGGTGGGGAAGACCCACTCTAGGAAGGATTATCACCAGAATGGCATGGAATGGGACACAAAGGAAGCACTGCTCCTGTGCTCTTTGGAGGAGCTTCACTTCTTGCTTTCCACCTTGGACGTTGTCTCCTGGTTTCCAGCACAGACTCTTCAGCCTCCACCACAGACCCTTTGGCCTCGTGATGTGGACTCGGGACACTATACAGAGCTCCAGGCTTTCGACTGGATCCTTCAGATCCTCAGTGTACAGACAGCCCTTCTGCACTCACCCACGCCTGAGTCTGTGGGTGGCCATTGTAAGCCAATCTTGAAAATCCTGATGTATTTGTATATCTTGTATTCTACCTGTTTCTCTAGTAAGCACTGACTGATACAGGAGTTGACTGGATCATGGGTGCGAAAACTGGATCATGGGTGTGTGATACTGGATTACAGTATCTCCCCTACAAAATTGAAGTTCAGAGTTCAAGGCCTCAGTTGTTTGTGGATTTTTCCTTAGAACCTAACGTGTAAGAGTGTTGTTGGTTTTGTTCTTCTTAAACCCTTAAGAATTGTTCACAGACACCGCCCCCCTCCCCAGTTTTGCAGAAAGCACAAGTATCTTCCACAGCTGTTTTTGGCAGGAGGTTTGCAAGTATCCAATCCGACAGTGGTGGTTCTGCTTGCTGCTAGCTGGCTGCTGCCCTGTAACCCACCTCTGCAGATGCACTGACATTCCTGCATCATAATAGGTTACTGTAGCCTGTGTAGGAGCGTTTGGGGTTTTGTTCTTCCTAAGCCCCTAAGTCCTTAAGATGCTGCTAAAATGCCCTGTGCCTTCTAAGGCTTTATTACTACAATATTTAACTAAATTAAATTATGTAACTGTGGGAAACATAGTATATTTTGAGTTTTATCTATAAAAATGGGCATTTATAGGAATTTTTCTGATCATATGTGAAATTTGTGGGCTTTCACACCTCATGGGTGCTCTAGGAGCATAACCTCTGCAAATTTGGCGGTCCACTGTAGTCCACTGATGGGTTTATAGCTGGGTGCGATGTTAGCAGGCAAACTCTGGTAGGAAGAGGTGGGTCACTGTGGGTGTGGCCTGGAAGTATTTATAATTTCTATTCCCTTCACCCCTCTCTGCTTCCTGCAGCCATGCCATGGACTGTTTCTCCCCTGCCATGCCACCCTGCCTTGGAGCCAGCCAGCTACGGAGTGAAACCTCTACAAACTATGACCCAAAATAAACTTCTCTTCCTTTAACTTGTGGGTGTTGGGTATTTTCTCCCAGAATGAGAGAAGTAACTAAGACAGGTGCATTTTTGCTCTTGTCAAATTCTTCCTCTTTAACTGCTCCTTCCCAGAGCACATCCCATTCCTGCCCTTAGGGTACCACCATAGAAACTGGGGGTCCCAGTGGAGGCTGTATGGAAACCCTGGTGAGTTAGAGCAAACCCTCTAGCCCCTGGACTGAGGGACTCATGTAAACCAGGCCCTACTCTTAGATCTGTCACTAACAGACTTGGTTTGCTATTGAAGTCACTTTGCAGGCTCCACATCCTTTCTGTCTACGTCTGTCTACCGGAGGTGTCCTTACTCCCATCTTCAAGGGCCAACTCTAATCTTGGGCCCAGAGTACCCAGGTTTCCAACTTTTCCCCCACCGAGGACCAGATTGCCCATTCCCACCCAGAGAGAAACTCCCATGCTATTTCTGGAGGCCTGGGCCTGGTCTTGCTGATGTGCATGGAGCCCCAGCTCTCTGGGACAGAGCCACCTGGGCCTGCCAGGCCTCCTTCCAGACCCAGCACGCAGATGCGGGGTCCCAGATCTAGGTGGGCTGCTGCAGGTGGAGTCCACAGTGCTGAAGGGGCCCCCTCCCACCTTGGGTGCCAGGGCCGCCCATCAACGCACTTGCCGGGGTTCACGTTGCCAGGTTTAGCCCCTCCGGTGGCTACATGCTCCATCACTCAGTCTTGCTGTTGTTGCTCTTTCTGCCCAGAGCTCCACGCATCATCTGTAGCACACCTGCTGATTCCCTCATTCCTGCTCCACGGAGCTTCCCTGCGCCTGCCCAGCTATACACACACATGCACACGCGCACACACACACACACACACACACAC